GTAATTTAACCTAAAATTCGGAAGTTAGTTTGATGATTTACGAATAGTAGAACACAGTGTATCTGATTTAGAGTCAAAAACATGTAAGTCCAATTGTCATCTATTAATCGTCATATTAATCCTTATCGGTTATTGCAACAATTAATCATGATTAATATTTCTGCCAATATCGCCCAGACCTTATTGTAGTATATTAGTATTAATCATTTTAATTTATTTAGAAATCGACCAGTTTTCTCTGCCAGTTGCAGCTTTAGGAAATACCTTTGTATGTCTGGCATCGTTGTCAGTATTGGGATTCCCTGTTTTAAATATATATCATGACATCACTCCACACCAATAGAAATTGAGGCATTTGACTTAACCATCAAGTCAAATGCAGATTAAATAAATAAAATAGCTTGTTGCTAGTTAGGTGATAAAAATCAGCAAATTTCAACAAACTGTGTCTCATTTTGAAGCTTTTGATTTGAATTTGAGAATATTATTACCCCAATAATAAAGACTCCTCATTGTCACTCACTTTGCCAGCATAAATCACAAAAGCTGCTTCAATTTATGTTGTATGATTTAATTTAACACCACAGAAAAAACATTAATGAATTCATCAATCCTCATCAGGGTTTTAACACATTTTCAATTTCAAAAGTCCAGACTCAAATGTCTGAATTTTTTGTCATAAAAAAAATCAGTTTGAACATCTATTGTAAATAGACAAAATGGTTTTGAAATCCAGTGATTGTGTATTTAGATAATTCTGTCACCAAACTTTAAGCTCTGACAGTAAATGAGTCTCATGGCCTTAATGACCGCAGGCTAAAGTTTATAAATGTTGGAAACACGACAAAGATACGTTTATTACTAAACAACCACTATATTGTTATTTTATTACTGTGTTCTCTTTAGCTTTTAACAGTTATGACTAAAAATATGCTAATAGAGCAATCTTTTCTACATTTGTTTGCTTTTTTATTTGTGATCATTTTAAGTCYTTGCACTTTTCATGACCTACATTGGAGTCCTAAGAACCATTACTGTAGCTGAACTACAAAGATCTAATCTGTGAAGCTCACTCTTACAAAAAAAAAGGAGTTTATGAAAAACATCTTGTGATTCAGTTGTACCTTAAATGTACTGAATGTATCAGACTCTCTGATTACTTGAGMAATTTATCAGGAATGTCCAGTCTTGGTCCTCGAGGGCCGCTACCCTCCATGTTTTACTWGTTTCTTCTCTTCACACACCTGATTCAGTGACTGGATTACTGCTTCATGTTGTGCAGAAGCCTGTTAATCACTCGTCGATTCAAATCAGAAGTGYTGGAAGAGATGAAACAGGCAAAAACATGCAGAACACAGGACCAAGATGGGACACCCCAGCTGTTTAAGAACCTCCAGGTGCTGAAAAGCAGATTTTCATATAGTGTCCTGATGCATCTCAGTAATCCAGGTAAAAAATCAAAAAGAAAAAAATTGTGTAGGTCTTCTGGACGGGTTCTTCTCTAACGAAACGTTTCGTCTCTCCTCCAAGAGACTTCTTCAGTCTGAGAGTTTCAGGCAAAATTCAGGCTTTTAAGCCCTGCCTCCAAGTGACTGATGCTCACATCACATGGCTATCATTGACACCTAATTGACACCTAATTAACACTTTTACTCCTCTCTCAAACCAACGTTCCTTTGAGAGAGGAGTAAAAGAAGCCATTTTTGTGAAGAAAGACCGTCCATCATTAAACAGAGGCGAAGGCCTCCGTTTTCAGTTGTCCCCTTCCTACAGTGCTGCTATTGCCAGTATCACTCCACCCTGTTAACAATAGGTGTTAATTAGGTGTCAACGATAGCCATGTGATGTGAGTATCAGTCACATGGAGGCAGGGCTTAAAAGCCTGAATTTTGCCTGAAACTCTCAGACTGAAGAAGTCTCTTGGGCTACGTTCACACTGCAGGTCTTAATGCTCAGTTGTGATTTTTTGAAAAAAATCCGATCTTTTTGTGTGAACGTTCACATTACATTTTAAATGTGACCTGCATCAGACCCCTGTGTGAACGCTACACAGCACTGATGTGACACGCATGCGCAGTAAAAGACGTGACGTGTCATCAGCCGGCTTGTTTGTTTACAGAGCTAGCATGGATGCTACATTTTGCACATCGAATCAGAAGTTGTTGTTTAATCAGAGCCGATTAAATAATTATCTGACCTGCTTCTTTAGTTCAGTGTTTATATCTGAAGCTGCCTCTGACCGGGATGCTCCAGTGAAGCTTTTTTTTTTTTTGAACAAAACTACGAGCTGGAAAAAAGTATCGACCGAGTATCTAACTTTAGGATCGATACTCTCCGCGACCCAGGCTGGACATGTTATTATCATACTATCTACGTGGACAATGAAAAGTAAAAAGATGAAGCAAYTGGACTTGTGTTTTGGAGCTGTAAACACATGGAGCTACAGATTTAAACAGTGAGACTTGAGGTTAGAGTCTTATCGATCCTTCACCTCCTCCTGATGAAAAAGTCAGATGAATGTGACATGAGCGTTCACACTGCAGTCACTTTGAAAACATCAGATATATATCCGATTTAAAACCACATACTGAAACGGCCTGAGTCGGATTTGAAAAAATCGGATTTGTCTCGTCCAGACTGTCATAAAAAATCGGATATGAGTCAGATGGGTCAAAAAAATCGGATTTGGGTCGGATTTGCTTTCAGTGTGAACGTAGCCTTGGAGAAGAGACGAAACGTTTCATTAGAGTAGAACCCGTCCAGAAGACCTACACAATTTTTTTTCTTTTAGATTTTCATATAATTTTGCTGACAACACGATCAAAAAATAAAATAAAAAACTTTATAGGGGGAGGAAAAAAAAGAAAAACTTTTCATACAAAATGAAGACAAACCTAAAACAGAAAATTAAAATTGGGTTTTATATTTAGATGTTACGTAATAGTTGTATTATGACCTTATTTTGTTTCTTTATTATAACCCCTTGTTTAAAAAAAAATCTTTTGTCTTAACCTTAGCTGACCAAACTATATTTTTAGCTAACTTCTTACTTTATGAAACACATCTAACTCATGCAGTTATCTAAAATAAAATAAAAACTACACATTCTTCTGCCAGCTTAATAAGAAACACACGTCTTTTGAGTTTTAATAACAGGCCTGTTTCTTATTTTAAAAGGAACTGCTTCACGTGTTTCTATCAGATGGTTTGACTCACAAAGTGCCGACTCACCGAGCCGCACAGAGAAAATGAGAAACTTTACAGAAACCCATCTGACGGCCACATCCTACCACCAAACGATGAGGCAAAGCTAAAGCACCGCTGTGTCCTCAAAAGTTCAGTGTCTGCCTGAGTGACAGCTGTGCGCTAATGTTGACTTAGCAAATGTTTAGTGAGGTGCGTTAAGTTAAACCAAATCTTATGTCCAAACGCACAAATAAGAGGCGAAATACGAGCGTTCGAGGTTCAGAGTTGATCTGGGCTGATATCCAAGAGAAACGTTCGCCGGAAGTGGCGCTTTTAAAACAAGCAAGTCTGCTAACTTGTTGGTTAGCCTAGCCTATGCTAACGCCAGCTATGACTCAAGTTGACGACTGGGGAGTCGTTCCCGAAGTTAACTGTGAAAAAAAAAACGAGTTTTTAAACCAACAGATCGACCTGCTCTTTGCTAATCGCCGTCAGAGGTAAACCACTGACGCGAGGCTTCAAATGCACCGGTGTTCGTTTGAAACGTGGCTCGTCTACCTGAAATTGAAGGAGTTTTTCGGTCTGCGCCTGAGATAATTCTGGATCCTCTGGCGCCGCCATCTTACTTCGCCAATCATCTACCACGGCGTAATAACCGTCTTTTCCTGATGCTGGTGGTGCTGACAGGCGCTGCACCAGCTGCTGCCGCCTAGCGGTCCGGAGGGCGAACCGGTTGAGGCAAAATTAATATTCAGCCAATTCAAAATGTCATATTTTTCAAAACTTACATTTTATTTCAAATAAGATTCTTCACAGGAAGAAAAAAACATCACTTTTGTTTTATTGAAGAAGGTTTGGTTTAGACGTATAAATAAAATTACTATTGCCAGTAGTCCCAGGTTTAATTTTTAGTGATAAAAATCCATTTAATAGATATCTAGTAATCACACAGGATGGAGAAGCGAGTGGAGGTTGTAGGTTTGAATCCCCGGACCAGCACAACAGTGTGGTTCAGCGGAAAGCCCTTCTAGATTTCTAAAACATTATTTAGTAAGAAAATATA